CTTGCCGTCAGCACCAGCTGCCAGCTCGGTGGGTGCGTTGTAGGCCAGCTGCAGGAAAGGCAGCAGAGCAGCAAAGGAGGACCAGGGGAGTGCGCGGCGTGAGGGAGGGAAGGAGGGATAGATGGAGAGGAGGGCAGCGCCACCTTGGCCGTGCCGCACCCCCCGTGCTTGCTGCGATGCATCCGGTTGCTGCCTGATGCAGAGCACTCTCCAGTTGGTCTGGCGGCATCATTGCACCCCTTGTATCACTCACATGTGTGTACAGCTTCTCCACACCGCTGAAGCCAGTCGCCCGCTCGTGGTGCTCCTTGATCACTCGGGGCAGCTCCTCGAGCGGCACCACGGGGCACCACCGCCACTCTCCGCTGCGCTTGACGCAGCGGCACAGGATGTCCTGACCGCCAGCGCCCTTCAGCACCTGGAAGAACTGCAGCACCTTCTTGCTGTAGTTCTTGGCGCCGCCCTGCACTGCCGCCCCCCCTCCCGCACCCCGCCGCCGCCGGCCTGAGGGCGCCTGCTGGTCGCCCTGCTTGATCCGGATGATGCCCTCTACATCTGACTTAGTGAGAAACACATTCTTGGCGCCGTTTTGGCGCCGTTCTAAGGCATAAAGGATGACAGGTTGGTTCATAATTTTAAATTTGCGGCAGCTGCGGGGTGCGGGAGGGGAGAAATAGAAGCCTTAGAGACTCTGAAAGGCGAAGGAAAGGGAGGGATCGCGGGAGAGAGCGTGCCTGATGAGCCAGACGAATCGGGGGAGGTGCCACATCAGCGGGCAACACATGCACTCCCTTCCTACGCCTGCCCTCTCACCGAAACTCAACCTCTGATCTGAAAACAAATCAGACCTCTCACCTGAATCCAACAAGGCACCCCACCGCATTTTTCTGCTGCTCTGTTGATTCTGCTGTCCCGTTGTTCCTGCATGTCCAGATGCTGCCCTGACCCCGTGCCCAGCCGTGTTGCACTCTGCCGTGTCGCACCCCGCCCTGAGCAGCGCTGCCAACGCGACTGCCAATCCCACTGATGCTTGTAAGACGTGCGCAGCTGCATCATGCTAGTTACACGTGCGCCGAAGCCCAGCCAATCCCCGCAAGAGCGCAAGCCGCCAACAGTTTGGCCAGGGTGTCTGCCAGGCAGGCATCGTAGCGGGAATCCAAGGGCCCGTCTGCCACCTCCAACCCCTCCAGCCAGGCTGTGTAGCTGCCATCCAGGCCGTGCTGCCTGCTCCCCTCCACCAGCAGGCTGCGGTACCGCCGTGTGGGCGGGACGGGGCGGTAGAGCTGCAGCAGTGGGCTGGAAACAAATGCCGCCGCCCTGCATGCCTCGCCGCGATACGTAAACACCGCCAGCTGCACCGCCCGATACCCCACTTCCCTGCCAGCCAGCCGTTGCAAGTCGCCTGGCCGGAGCGTGTGCAGGACGCCGTGGGGCTGCTGCCATGCCGGCCCCGCGCGCAGCGGCGGGGCTGTTGAAGCGGCGCTGCAGTCGGCGGCTGGCCAGGGCAGCCGGCGAAGCTGCCGCTGCAAGTGGAGCGAGGCATAGCCCCCGCGGTGGCTGAAGCTGAGCCACGTGCCGCGGTCGGCCACGACTGCCGCCTCGCTGCTCAAGGAATGCACCCCGCGCTTGGCGAGCACGCTGGCAGCCATGTTGGCACCATACGCAAGGTAGAGGGTGCAGGGCGGTGGGTGTCCGCCGGCGGGAGCGGCTGGCAGCGGCGGCGGTGGCATGGCGGGGTCCGTTTGGCACGCTGCCTGCGATCACGAGAAATGAGAGCGTGCTTAGCTCGAGTTAGCAGCAGGTGTGGGCACCCGAGTGCAGCAAGCCCTAACGCGTGCCGAGCAACAAGCAGCCAAAGGCCTCACCCGCGCCTGAACGAAGTCAGCGACGGCGAATCAAGCTCCAGCGTCACCGCACCTCCGCTGCAAGTCCATATCGGCTCGCCACCAGGCTGGCCGCCCGCTGTGCCCGCTGCGCTCGGCGCGCCACCCTGCTGCAAGCTGGAATGCCCCACGCACCCGGGCTCCAAGTTACAACGGGCCCCAACAAAACAACGGCCGCTCTTTGAACAAGAACCAAGCGCTGGTCAGGACGCAAAGTCAAAGAGGCACACGCTGCGATCGTCTGAGGCGGACACCAGGCGGGAGCCGTCTGGGCGGAACCGCACCGCCCACACTTGGTCGGTGTGCTCGCTGCAGGTCTGCGGGGCGCGGCGGCGGTGGGGGGCGCGGGGTGGGGCCCGGGGCAAGGGTGAGGAGCGCAGCGAGGGATGGGGATGGGGGAGGAGTTTCTCGGCGGGCAGAGGTGGTTGGGGCATCCCGGGCAGCACATCGCAGGAAGCCAGAGCGCGGCGTGCCGGGCTCCTGAACCCAACCCGCCGACGGCTCATCCCCGCCCAGCGCACCCACCGCTCCCCGATTTAGCCAGCGCAGCGCGCAGCCGGCGCCTCACCTGCGCGCACGTTCTCGTCTGCAGGTCCCAAAGCTTGACCTTGCTGTCGCTGCTGCCGGTGGCAAAGGCGGTGCCGTTGGGGTGGGGGCTCACGCTGAGCACCCACGACTCATGCCCTGCAGCCAGCAGCGCGCGGCACGCGGGCGGGGGCATGAGTCTTGGCCAGAGGCTTGCCCACGCCCCAGGAAATGGAGCAGCCGGGCCAGGGCAGCAGCCGCGCGAGCATTCACAGTAGCAGCCCTGGGCAGGGTGCCGCCACTGCCATGCAGCACCCTGCCACTGCCATGCAGCGCCCTGCCCCTGCACGGGTGGCGCTGCCTGCCAGGTGGCCCCTGGCGCTTGCCTGAGAAGGCCTCGATCAGCTCTGCATGCTCGGCGTCATACAGGTGCGCGTTCATGTCGTCACAGGCGGTGATGACCTGCTTGGAGTCTGCTTGTCGGGAGGCAGGGGAGCGGGGTGGACAGGCGGAGAGTGAGGCAGGGAGGCGGGCAAGTGAACATGGACGCAGGGATGCGTCGGCGTGGGCAAAACAGGCAGCAGCGGCGCCGCAGCTGCCCTCCGGTGGAGCTTGGTGGTGAGGCACATGCCCTCGTGTGCTCGGTGGCGGGCTCAGCAGCCCTCCAGCTGCCCGCCGCCTCCTGGCCGCCCCGCAGCCAGCCGCCTGCCCACCTGGAGTGAAGGCCAGGTCGCGCACTGGCCTGAAGTGGCCGCCTAGCGTGTGCAGCAGCTTGCCGGTGGCCGCATCAAACAGCGCCACGGTGCCGTCCATGGCGCCCGCCGCTATCCGCCGCCCGTCTGCATCCGGCGGCGGGGCGGGCGCAGCGGGTGGGCCAGCAGCGCGGGGCGACGGGCTTTCGCGGCTGGGCCGGCCGGGCAAGCACATGCGGAGCAGCAGGCAGCCTGCCCACACCCCTTGCCGTCCCCAAACCAGCAGGCAGCCGCTCCTCTGCTCCCTCCGCCACACACACCTGGGCTGTAGGCCACGCTCAGCACAAACTTCTCCTTCCGCTGCTTGTCTGCAGACTCGGGCATGGCCAGCTGCGCCGCCTGCTCCTTGGCCGCCACATCCAGCACCCGCACCGAGTTGCTGCTGCCGCCGGCCACCGCCAGCAGCAGCTTTTCGGAGGAGGGGGCAAAGGCCAGGCCCCAGGTCTCCGAGGGAGGGATGTTGGTGAACTGGTGCACTGCAGGGCGGGCGGCAGGAAGGGGGGCCAGCGAGCGGGCCAGGCCAATCATTCTTCCATCCGGTGCCAGGGCAGCATTATGGCTCCACAGCTGGAGGACCCGGCCTCCTGCTTCTTGGTGTGGTGCTGCCGACACACATATGGCACGCAGCGCCAGCGCTCATGAACTGCCAATCCCTTTCCCTGCGGAAGGAATCCCAGCCGAGTAGCAGGGCTGCACCTGTGTTGTAGTCGTCCATCCTCCACACCGTCACGTAGCTGTCCAGGCTGCTGGCGGCGCCGTACTGCCCGCTGCTGTCCACGCTCACGCCCAGCACGCCCAGCGACAGGCCCACCTGTGGGAAGCAGGGTGTTGTGGCGCACACAGGCATGAGCTAAAAACTGGGAGGGTGGCAGGCAGGGCTCAGACTGGCAACCGCACTCCACAGTGTGGGCGGCCGCCACTGCCACTCGCCCCAGGCGCCCGCCCGCCCAGCTGCCCCAATTGCGCTTACCAGGTGGTGCTGCTGCTCTAGCGTGTCCCCGACCTCCTGCCACAGCTTCACGCTCTCGTCCACCGAGCCAGTGACGAGCGTGTTGCCCGTGGGGGCCCAGGCTGCCGCCCACACCGAATCATCGTGTGCGCTTTCCTGCTTCTGCAGCAGGCTCAGCCGCATGTTTGGCCGCCGCTGTGGGGTCTGGGAGCGCCAGCGATCGAGCTCGAGAGACGATGGTGCCGCGATCGACGGGCTGCAGGAGTCTGAGTGCGTTCAGCTGGCGATCAGCATGCCACCCTGCCCTTTGAGGAGCGAGGGCGGAAGGGTTGCGGGACATCCCGCCGTACGGCCCTGCCGCCCTCTCGGGACGCCCTAAACCGCCGTGCCGCGTCTTACGATTTGCCAATACAGTTGTTTGTGCTTCCAGACCGCAGTCACAGCAAGGCAGAACCGCATTCCCACCGAACTGATCGAGCCGCATCAGGAAGCAGGCGCCAGGGCCACCCACAGGATCTGTACACTGTGTTACAACTGCGGCAGGGGCGGCGGCGGGGCGCCATGACGTTTGCGGTCAAAATCAAGAAGTGGCATGCCGTCGCTAGCTGGACGTGGAACGCAGGTCAGCGGCCGCCTTGCAGCCTGTTCCTCGGCTGCCTGCCTGGGCCTGGCTGCCTAGCACATCCTCATCAGATATGATTTCACCATATTAGCAGCTGTGACCGGTCGCTGGGGTTTCCTGTGCTTGCACCGCCACCCCCGCGAACCCGCTCCCCTCCCGCGCCGCTGCAGGCGACGATGTGTGCGGCATCTGCCGCATGCCCTTTGACGGCTGCCCGCCCGATGGCAAGTACCCAGGCGACGACAGCCCGGTGGTCTGGGGCATCTGCACCCACGCGTTCCACCTGCAGTGCATCAACAGGCACGGTCAAGTGCTCAGGGGGCATGTGGCACCAGAGGGGTGCCGCATCCGCAGCTTTGGCAGCAGCGCTGCCAGCTGTGATTGATGCGCTCAGGTGTCCTTCTTGCATTTCCTCCTGTGATCCGTCTGTCTCGTGCTCTGCTGGCTGCAGGTGGCTGCAGAGCCAGGCGGAGCAGAAGTGCCCCTTCTGCCGGCGGCAGTGGGAGTTTAAACAAGCCGCCATAGGCGGCGAAGACTCGGATGCCTAACCAATGTTCCACCAGGGGCTGAATCCCTGCGGCCTTATCTGACACTACTTCACTCCTTCAGCAGCCAAGGCTGATGCTTTCAAGCCTCATCTGTCTCTCATGCTCTCCTCCCGCTTTCCTCTGAACCTGCTTGCCATCCCTTCGCTGCTCAGTTCTGCCTTGCATCGCAATTTGCAATGGCGCCTTGTTTTAACAGACAATAACAGGCAAAGGAAAAGAATTGACAGACGCACTGTAGGGGGGGTCACAGGCAAGCAAAATGCAATGTACGAGCACCGACGAGCTAGCAGGCAAAACGCGGAGAAAAAGCGGCTGATGAAGCGCTTCATAGCAGGGAGAATGTACGGATGTTTCATGCAGGGCGCAATGCAATCGGATTGCTTCAGGTTCGAAAAGGGTAGGGGAGTTCAATAATGCCTGGGGGTGCCCGGCCCCAGGGCAGGTGCTGTGCGGTTGGGCTGCTACCGCTTGGCCTCAGGCCGGATGCTGCGCTGCTGCTAAAAGCATGGGGATGGGTGTTGGGCAATAGGAAAAATGGCGACTGTGACGGGTGCCTAGGGCTGCGTACTGCAGCACACCCGTGTGCTGCGATGCGCTCAGCTGGAGTTGTTGAGGCAAGGGAAGTAGCCCTCCGGCTTCAGAGTCAGGTTTGTGTACCTGCAGCCAGGGAGGGCCGCAGCAGCACCGGCACAGGTTAGCAGAGTCGGCAGCACCGCCCAGGACAGGAAGCCGGGAAGCACAGCAGAGAGCAGCTCGGAGGCACAAAAGCAGGGGCCTTGACATGCCAGGCAGGGCAGGTAGGCCAGGTGAGAGCGGCAAGATCTCACGTTGGCCAGAACCTGCAAGAAGCAAGGGGGACAGCAACAAGACCGAGGGCAATGAGCAATGGAGCAGAGAGCATGCATCATGCCGTCCGATGGAGACTGGCGGCAGAGCAGGTGCCGTGCGCTGCCGCTGCGGCAGACGCTTGCTGGCGTTTGCTGCTGCCACGCAGCTGCTGCAGCAGCCAACACTGCCGGCGCTGCTGCTGCAGCGTCGGCTGCGGGCTCCCCTGCAAAGGCTGCTGCTGTCGGCTGCGCCCGCTGCAGCGGCGGCGGCAGCGCTTGGGGCTGCCAGAGGCGGTGCATTACCGGCGTGCTGACTATTGATGCTCAGGCACTGGTGTAGTCAGGTTGGGGTTAGGAGGCATGAGGTTCGTGTACTGAGGCCAGTACCTGTGCAGTCGCAGATGCAGATGCAGGGAGGGTGGTGGGCCAGGGGTGGGCTACGAGTGGTCAGGCGGCAGCACGGCAAGCAGCACAACCACGCAAGCACATGCAGTGGCTCCCTGGCTGTGGATGCACTGTGTGCACAGCAGCAGCTGTCGAGCCCAGCCAGCTGAAAAGCACCATCGCTGCAGCTACAGCCTGTCTGGCTGTCCAGCTGGCAGCTGTGGCCATCTAGCTAAGCTATGCTGCTGGACTGGCAGCTGGGCTAGCGCCTGGCTGGCGGCAGGGGGAAACGATCACTGCTGGCCAGGGCAACCGCCCCACAGAGCCAAACAGGCTGCCCTCAGCGGCAGAAGCGGTGGCAGAAACCGGCCATAGCAGAGAGAGAGAGCATGCAGCATCAGAACCAGCAGTATGGTACTGCTCACATGTGCTTCTGGATGTACCGCCTGAGGTGGTCGTCGCCGCGCGACAACTCCCGCATCTGCAGCAGCCAGAGCCCTCGAAAACATCAAGGAGTGGACAGCAGTAGCAGCTGTGCAACTTGGCAGATGCCCGAGTGAAGGGTGCACCCCAGGCATCAGGCAACCACCAGGCACAAGTGGGTGGGCACACAGGACTGGCAGGCCATACCGCATGGGGGTTGTGCAGGTGGCCCTCCTCCGCCGCCGCCTTCATCGTCTCCAATGCCACATTCAGGGAGATGTCCCTGCAGCAGATGTTTTGGGGGGAGGCGAACGAGGGCAGCGCATTGCTTCGGCTGGGCACAGCTGCGAGCGGAATCCATTCACCCATCCATGACCCCACGGAAGCCGGAGGGTGCAACCCGCCCTGCCTGTCGCTATTTCAAACATATCATCCCTTTCTTTCCTTCCTTCCCAATCAGCCCACCTGATCTTGTTCATGTTGGGATACACCCGCCCAGCAGCCAGCTCCTGTGGAGTGATCATGCTGCAGGCAGGCAGGCAGGCAGGGAGCAGCAGTCAACCACAGGGTGAGAGCGGAGCAGTGCAGGGCTCACTCACAAGCTCGGCACCCCCGCAGCCTGGTGCACAGCCAGCCCTGCACACAGCTTCCCGCAGCCCCCAGCTGCGCAGCCCCCCGCACACAGCTCACTCGGCCAGGCTCTCTGCCGCCGCCATCAGCATGCCGTCTGTGACGATGTTGCCGCGGGCCAGGTAGGCGCCCATGGCGAGGCCGGGGAAGATGTACCTGGGAGGGGGAGGGTTTGGAGGGGAGGAGGAGGAAAGTGGGAGGAGTTGGGAGGAGGAATCAGAAGGATGGGAACATAGATTGGGGAGGACTGATTAGGAGCACAATGCACATGCCAACCTGCTGACACAGGAGGCAGGTTGGGATCCTGCCGTGCGGCAGCCCCCGCGACAGCAGCACCAGCGGCGGCAGCGGCAGCAGCAGGCGCCTCTCACATGTTGTTGGCCTGGCTAGCGGCGCACAGCTTGCCGTTGAGCTGCACGTCGGGCTGGGGGGAGCCCGAGGCAAAAATGGCGCGGCCCTGCAGCAGCCACGTGAGAGGCGGCGCCCAGCAGAGCAGGCACAGGCACACGTCGGCAGGCAGAGAAGACACATGCTGCGGCAGCTCCACAGCTGCAAGGGGAGGACGCTTCCCACTGCCACGGCAGTACCAGCGGCAGGTTGTCAGTACAGCAATGAGGCTGTACGGCAGTACATGTACCTCGCAGTACTTCTGCGCATCCTCGTGCGTGCACTCCATCTTGCTGGTGGGGTTGCTCATGGGCATGATGATGGGGCGCTCGTTGTACTGCGCCATGAGCCTGCGGTACAACAGACCGGCACAGACGACGTCAAACATGCAGCCAAAGAGCCAGCTAATGCGGTCGGGCAAGGGCTCCCAGCCTGTAGGCCCGGCCCAAGGCATCAGCTGCGCTCCAAGGCAGTCGAGCCGCCAGCACCACAGCACCGCCAGCACCGCAGCGCCGCCAGCACCACAGCGCCGCCAGCACCACAACGCCACACTCGCTCACTTGAGCACGTCAGGAGTGAAGAGGCGGCCCGCGCCGGCCAGGCCGATGAGGGCGGTGGGCTTCACGCGGCGCACCACCTCCAGGAATGGCTCGCCCTCTGCAGGCACAGGCAGGGTGATACAAGTAGATACAAGTAGGGGAGGTGACGCCGGAGCAGGCAGGGGTGAGTGATGACTGCCGTAGAGGCAGCGAGGCAGGTCCAGGGGGCGGGCACATGGCTGCGTGTGCTGGATGGCTGCTGCCTGGCCTCACCCGGGCTGTCATCCTTGCGGGCAAAGGGCCGGACGTGTGGCTCAAGGTTGGGACGCTGCACCCGCCAGCCAAGCAGGCGCGGCACAAGAGCGACAGGTCAGCAGGGGCGCCAAGTCGCAGCAGGGGGAGCACGGCTGGCCAGCTGCCGCCATGCGCTGGGGCAGCAGCTTCTGCAGCCGCGCTAGCACGCCCTCGAGCGTCTGATCGTGTTTACTCTGTGCTGCGGGCCTGTCCAGCAAGCCCACGGCGCCTCCCCACAGCTGCCGGCCTGTCTGCCCTGCCCACCTTGTGTGTGATGTGACCGTGATGGTCCAGCACGTGGAAGCGGCTGGAAGCCTCCTCGGGGGACAGACCCTGCTTCACCATGCCTGCAGGGGGAGGCGGTGGGGAGAGTGTGAGGCAGGCGAGCAGGAGAGAGGAGCGCGTCCAGTACTGTGCTCAGGTAAGTCCCTCCTGCTTGATCCCTCCCAAGACCTGCTGCCACCCACCCCCACCCCCACCCCCACCCACCCTGCGCAATCATGGACACCACTCCCATGCCTGCCGACCCCGCGCCGAGCACCACAAACTTCTGGTCCGCCAGCGCTGCACGGGAAGAAAGCAAGCAAGGAAGGACCAGTCAACGGCTGTGCAGGGCGCAGGGAGCAGAACCGTAGAGCAGAAGCGGGCCAGGCAGGTCGGGCGCAGGATGCTTCGGCCAGGCGGCGTACCCGACGGCGGCTTGCCGGCCACCGCCATCGCGCCGTACAGGCCGCCCACCGCCGTGGCGGCAGTGCCCTGCAGCACAACGGGCCGGGCGGGCAGCGCACGGCTGGATGCCCAGGGCAGATGCAAGAGCAAGAGCGCAAGCCAGGGAGTTCTCTCGCTGCCACGGCGCCTGCTCCTCCCGGGGAAGCCAAATGCCCTCCTGCCTGCCCGCAGACCGCTGCCCACCTGGACCTGCACAGAGGAGAGGCGGGAGAAAGGGACGGTGGTGACGAGGGACAGGCAGGGAAGCGCAGCACAGCAGCCCAGGGCAGACACCCGCCCCGGCGGCAGCTGCCAAGCGCGAGCCCCTGCAGCAGCAGCCGCAGCAGCAGGCCGAGCAGCCCGCGCTCACGTCATCGTTGAACACGCAGTGGCTGTAGCGGTACCGCTCCAGCAGCGGGGCGGCGTGCTCGATGTTGAAGTCCTCAAACTGTGCGGGGCAGGCGGGGGCAGGGAGGCGGGGGGTTGGGGCACGGGAGCAGCAGACAGGCGCGTGGGGTGGCGTGCAGGGGCGGAATGCGCGAGGAGGTGCGCAGACCACCGGGTGCGCTGTGCTCCTGCTCAGCACTGCCCCGACGCCCAGGCCAGCAGGCCCAGCAGGCCCAGCAGGCCAGCAGGCCCAGCAGGCCCAGCAGGCCAGCAGGCCCCACCTGCAGCACCGCCTTGGGCCAGCGGCCCATCACCGCGTGCACAAACTCGTCGATGATCTCGTAGTAAGAGTCGCCGTGCAGGCGGGGCTGCTTGAGGCCCATGTACCTGCGGGGGGCCACACCCACACCCTCGTTCTGAACTAGCCGGCTCCACTTCACGAGGCCCGGAGGCCGCCCTGGCCGGCAAAGGCAGCGCCCAGCCAAGAGGAGCGGCCCTGCTGCGCCCCCGCCCCCCTCACCCCCCGGCCTCCCCACACACACCCCAGGCCAGGCGCCCTCACCAGGGCTCGTTGCGCAGCAGCTCGTTGTTGGTGCCCACATCGATGACGCAGGGCAGCACGCGGCCCGGGTTGAAGCCGCCGGCTGCGGGCGGAAAGGCGGGGGCAGGTCGACCGGGAGGCGGCGCAGCCAGGCAGGCGGGTGGGCAGCAGGCCAGTTGGTTGTGCCAACAGGCGAGCAGCATGCGCCGGCAGCGCCTCGCCCTGCAAGCCTTCCACTCCTGCACTCCTGCAGTCATGCTGGCGCCCCAGCACCCCGCCCACCTCCAACATACAGGTCCAGCTTGCCCACGGGGATGCCCAGGCCATTGGCACCGAGGTCGCCTGCAGCCGCCAACACACCAAGCAACATTGGGCCAGGGTTGGGGCAGGGCAAATCCACAAGGCAGCAGCCAGCGAGCAATGGCGTCCCTCCAGCCTCAGGCTGCCCAACCACGCCCCGCTGGTCCATGCTTAACCGCCACCCCATCCTCGCCACACACGCCATCGCCATGCTGCCACCGGGCAGCGGCCGCAGCAGCCGACACCCACAGCAGCCCGGCCTCCTCCTGCTCACCCAGTCCCAGGATGCGGGAGCCGTCGGTCACGACGATGGCATCCACATTCTCGTGGGGCCAATTCCAAACCATGGACGCCTGCAGGCAGCGGGAAGGGGGCAGACACAGGCAGGCAGGGCAGGCTTGGGTGGCAGGCGGTGGGCCGGCACCAGCCGGTGGGACGGTGGGCACCTGGGCAGAAGCACCGGGCGGGTTTGTCGTAGACGGCTGCTGCGAGGCAGGCCAGGACCACCACTCCAGCAGGTGCCACGCGTGCCCATGCCCGCCACCCACCATCTCTCCTCGGTCGTTTGCGCTGAAGTACATGCCACGCGGGCGGCGGTACAGTTTGTGGTAGTTCATGCATGCCCAGCCCACGGTGGGGGCTGCAGCCAGGGCAGGAGCAGAAGGCAGGCACAGGGTTATTGGGCAGCGGCACATACTGTGGCGACCAGGCCCTGCCCCGCTGCAGACTCGGTTTGCCCCTGCCCCGACAGGCTGCCAGCTGCCCCGCCAACCCTCCCCTGAGCACGCATGCATGCATGCATGCCGGCTGCGGATGGCCCACACAAGCACACACCCAGGCCGACATTGTGCTCATATCACTCGACCGATAATGGCGCCATCTCCCCCACAAAACCATCTCCCCATACAAATGTGCACCCACACCCACACCCAGCCCCCGCGCTCACTGATGGGCGCCACCTCCCAACACACCCACCCACCGCACACACAAGCCTATACAGTACGCAGTCATACTGTGCTCACTATAGATGATGGGCGCCATCTCCACGAAGTTCTCGCACAGCAGGCGGTAAAAGAGCGTCTCGTTGCGGTCCTGCGCGGGTGGGAGGGGTGGGTGGAAGGCGGGAGGCAGTGGCCAAGGGCAATACACAACAACAGGATGCGGATGGGTGGGGGGGGGGAGGCACGGGCCAGCATGCGCGTGTGCATATGTGTGTGTGTGTGGCTCCAGCCTTGACACCCGAATTGAAACCCGAAGCACGCATGTCTAACCCAGCGCTGCCCACCCACCCGCCCAACCAACCACAGGCACAGACACAGCCCCCACCTGCAGCTCCTGCAGGTACAGCCACTTGCGGGTGTGCTCGTGCGTCACGCCGCCGCTCTCAATCTGCGGGGCGGCCAGGGCAGGGGACACGTGTGGCGTGAGCAGGCCGCCGCGGCCGGCGGGCGCCCGCTTAAGCTCCGGGCAGCCACCAGCGGTGCGATCTGAGTTGCGGGCGGCACAGCACACCGTGCCCCTGCCTCCCCAGCCTCCCAGCAGTCACTACTAGCCTACAGCCCTCTACACACCCACACCACACACCACACACACCTGCGAGGGGTCTATGTAGTCCTGGCCGTGCCAGTAGCGGTCCATGGCCCGCGCTTTCTGCCAGGCAGGCGGGGGCAGGCGGGCAGAAAAGGCAATAAGCAACACGCAGCACTGGGAGCGGGAGTGAGGGAGGCAGCAGGGTGAGCGCGCCATCTGCAGCAGCAGCAGCAGCAGCAGCAGCAGCAGCAGCAGCAGCGGCAGTGCGGCTCCTGGCGCAGGCGTGCCAGGCGGCGTGCGCGGCCGTGCAAGGCCCGCTCCCCTTGGGCCGCCCTGGACCGCCGCTCCCTTCCACGCAAGCCTACCCCACACCCATGGCCCCCCGTTTTCCCCCTCCTCACCACACGCGCCCCACACGCAAGGCGCCTGCCCCACCTGCTGCTCCATGGACAGCACACGGGGCGGCAGCAGGCCGCGCAGGCCAAGCCGCTCCCGCTCCACCAGCGGGTGCGCTGTGCCCTTATTGAACACGGGGTCGTGTAGCACGTCCACGCCGCGAGACCGAGCCACAGAGATGTCCAGAGTCTCCTTGGTCTCGTCTGCAGGGCGCGGCGAGGCAAGGGAGGAGGTGGGAGGCGCGGCGGCAGCCATTGGTGGGAAGGCGCGCGCCGCCATGCGCGGCGGCGGCAGCGCCCGGGGCGGCAGCCGCGGGTGACGAATGGGCGGGGAGGAGGGCTGGAAGGCCAGGCACTCACATGGGAAGGAGGCGGTGTCTGAGTAGGGCCTGCAGGCGGCGGGACAGGACACAAGGGGGAGGAGCGGCGGCGGCGTGAGCGGCGGCATGGCAGCGGCGGCGGCAGGAGGTCCAGGGGGCCCACCCCCAGGAGCGCGCCCAGCGCGGTGGCCACCTGCCCAGACCCGAGACCATGAGTTTGGGGGCGAGCTATATGCATGCGGGGCATAGGGTTGGTGCCCGCACCTGCACACCAAGCCCTCCAAACCGACAATGTTGGTGCCCGCCAGGGTGAGCCTGCCGCGGCCTAGCACCCTCCGGGCGGCCCTCTGCGCCTGCAGCATTGCCTAGGGTCCCCTGATCACGGCCGGGCGTCAGCCCTGTTTTGTTGGAACCGGAAGGGAGGGGCAGGCAAGGGCCGGGGCGCGGATTACCGTGTGTCAGCAGAGCAGGAGATGATCTGAGGTGCGTGGGACCCAAACCAATGTTTGGCGTGCACGTAGGCCCTGCCACGGGGGCTGAGTGCGGTCCATGCCGCTCTAGACCTCCAAGGAGCTCCCCCGATCGGCCCGAACAATTGAGGACTGAAAATGCTCACGTGAGGCGTGGGGGGAGTGCCATGCCGTCCAAGCGCCTCTCCCCGCGCGCGGAAATGGCCAGCGTGCCTGCGAGCATCAGGGCTTTGGGCGGCCCCCAATCAGCTGTTCGGTGTAGATCAGACTGCCTGCATTGCTTGGGGTTTGCTGGAGAGCCTGCTTCTCTCCTATTTTATGCGTGTCAGCAGCAGCGCAGCCCCCGCCTCAGCTCTCTTGTCCATTGTATCGGCAGCACATCGGCACACCCTCCAGCCGGTGCCCGCGCCTGCACAGCGGGCCCCACCGGGCCCGCTGCCTCCACCGCCTCTCACCGCCAGTTCCGCCGCTGCCGCCGGACGACAGCGAATCAAGGCCATGGCGAGCTTCCAGCCACGGTCAATGGACACCCACACGGCCAAGGGCCAGCGCACTGTAGCGGCGGCCGCCGAGAGGTGAGCCAACAGAGCGCTGGGGCCTGCAAACGCCAACCCCTTGCGCGCAGTGCCGGCATTCCCGCCGATGATGCGCTGCTGCCCGCCTCCGCCGAGATGAGATCCCTGCTGCTTGTGTCCCTGCACCACCACTCGCCCCCAGGAACAAGGAGCCCATCCTGGCGGTGCTGCAAGAGTTCCTGGGCAGCGCCGGGGAGGGGCTGGTGCTGGAGGTGGCGTCCGGCACCGGCCAGCACACGGCGCACTTCTCCTGCGGCCTGCCGCGGCTCACCTTCCAGCCCACAGAGTACGCTGCAGAGAGCGTGCCCAGGTGCGGCTGCAGCTTGGGGAAAGTGCGTGGGTGGTAGATGTGGTGGCGGGGCGCTGGGCAGGAGTGCGGGCCGCTGGCACCCGGTTTTCACACAGCCGGCGGTACCCATGTCAGTGCTGCACTTCTTCTCACCTCACCGCCACTCCGCCCGCCCCCCATAATTACTGTAGCATCACGGCATGGACCAAGGGCCTGCCCAATGTGCTGCCGCCGATGCTGCTGGATGCTTCGGCGCCTGACAGCTGGGGCCTCGAGGCGGGCTCCTGCCGCGCCGTTTTCGCCGCCAACCTGTGCGCCCGCTGCCCCCTCTGCCTGCTGCCAGCGGCCCCTGTGTGGTGGCGATGACGCGGAGGCAGGGCTGTACCGTTTCTTCCTGCCGCCCTGCCGCTGTTAAGTTCTCCTTCCAAGCTGCTTGCTCCCTGCTTGTGCTGCTTGGCTCCCCAACCGCTTGCTTGTACTGAGTGGGCCCGCAGGTGCCACATCAGCCCCTGGGCTGCCACGCTGGGGCTACTGGCAGGCGCGGGGCGCGTGCTGCAGCCGGGCGGCGAGCTCTTCCTGTACGGACCCTTTAGCGTGGACGGCTCCCCCACCACTGACAGCAACAAGCAGTTTGACCAGAGCCTGCGGGCCAGGAACCCCGAGTGGGGGTACCGAGATGTGGCTGACGTGGCGGCAGCGGCCGCCGCAGCGGGCATGCAGCTGGTGGAGCGGCGGGCCATGCCTGCCAACAACTTCATGCTGGTGTTCCGGAGGCAGGAGGGGGAGACAGTAGGCAGCACTTAGGACTCAGCCGAGCAGCTCAACCTTGTGCTGCCTGTTTCCTGCTGTGCCCATTGCCCCTCCCGCTTGCCTACTGGATCAGTGTTTACAACAGCATGGGGTTCATCCGTTGGAACGAAATGGGCGCACCAGCAAGGCAAGGCGTTGGCACGCAACAGGCAGGAAGGAACAGGGCAGAATCAATCGGTGGCACACAGCATGGCTTCTCGACCGGCAAGGGGTGGCGTCAAGGGTGGCCATGAAAGCGACCTCCAAGCAGCATTTCTCACCGTAGTATGTGGCATGTTTAGGAAGGGCAGGCAGCACAGCTAGTATTCAAATACTCGTTGGTGCGTGGGAAACACAAACATCAATGGCAGGCCACTGCGGCGGCCTAGCCAACGGCGCCGTCAACGGCAAAAATGGGAGCGTTCTGCTGTGCAGAGGCATTATCGTGCAGGGCGCATGGTGCGTGCTGCATGCTCGAGGAAGATAAAAAATAGCATGCTCGTGCAGCAAGGCAGCTGCTGCACGCATGGGAGACGTCTGACCGGCAGGGAGGAATAAAGCAGGTTGAAATTGCAAGGAAGAACACACACTCATGCAATGCATGCAAGGGGGCACACAACACGGGACGGCACACACACGCAACGCGCTGAATTAAATCCATTGTTCACTCAGCACTGGGAAGTTCCACAGCGCCACCAGGCAGCTGGTCGGTGCAGTGTAGGGCAGGGTCAGGGTATGGTGCAGAAGAACAGCGCCAGGGAGCGGCTCGCAGCAGGGCGTGGATGGGAGCAGGGGAGCGATGATATTGGCTTAAGAAACAGGGAACATGGGGAAGAATGATGGGGAAGCTGCTCTCCACAGTTGCAGCAAGAGGGTGGCGGAGGCGGGACAAGTGAGGGGGGAGAGGGGGAGGGCTTGCAGGCACCAGCATAGGTTATGTGTCGTGCGGTGCAGCAAGAGGGCACACATGCGTCGGCATAATGTGGGTGGGACAGGCAAGCAATGGCGCCACGTCGGCGTGGGTGGGGAGTCACCGGGGCGGCGAGGATCGATCTGCTATCGCCGGCGACAGGCTGCCCGCCGGCTGCGGCGACCCAGGGAGCAGCTGAGCCACGGCGGCCGCCACCACGGCAGGGTGCAGCATGCCCGCCGCGGCGTGCGGCAGCGGGACCGCAGCCGCGGAGCTCACTCGGCTCAGGCCCGAGGCGCCAGGCGCCCCGCTGGCGCTCACCGCCATGCCGGTGTTGGGCGTGGGCGGCGCCGAGCCGGGGCCGGCACCATCCGAGTCGCTGCCTGAGCCGTGGCCCCCAGATGTGGCCTGGTAGTTCCACAGTGCAGCGGGCACCTGCAGCTTGTCGTACAAGCGCTGCGCACCCGAGACGGCCGCCGCCAGCTCAGCCGTGTTCTGCAGGCACGCAGTGTGAGGCGGCGGGGACTGAGCGCCACGCTATGGCAGGCCCAGGCACCTCCCGCACGGCCCTTCATGCAAAGAAATACAACCGATGCGTGGACCTTTGGCCCGAAGCTCGCCTGCGCGCCGTATCCGGTGAGGAGGCTGAGGGCGCTGGGCCAGTAGGGGGATAGGCCGCGCGAGCGACGGTCGACGAGGAGCACCGCGGCCGCCACCACTGCAGGGCGGCGACAAGGACGGCAAGGAGGGCCCGCTCAGCGCCAAGCAACTCACAATGCTCCTGTCACTGCATCCATCCTGCCTGCTGCTGGCGGGAAGCCAGCATCCAGCAGCTGCGCAGCCCATTGGCAGGCAGGCAGGCAGGCAGGCAGGCGCCACTGGGAGGGCGCGCAGCGGCAGCGGCGGCCAAGGAACCGACCAAATCCAAACAGTTCTCAGCGCACCCGAGGGCCGGTAGTTGAGGAACTCGCTGTCGGCCAGCGTCTCGTGCAGGAGGCGGAAGGGGCTGCGGCTGCCCGCGCTCTGCGGCAGGCGACCACGGCGGCGGCGGCGGGTCGGCTGGCGGCGCGGCCGGCCTGGCCTGACGCCACCGCTGCAGGCCCTGGGCAGCTGGAGGCGGCCGAGGCGGCACGCAGTCCTGCGCCACAAACCCCATGCCCAGTCTGCCCCTACCCACCTTTTCTGCGGTAGGGCTGATGTCTCCCCCGATCCGCTCCAGGTAAAGCTTCAGGCAGCGCAGCGCTGCAGGCAGAGGGTGTGGGAGGGTGGGGGGCGGTGGATGTCTGCCTGTGCCTCACGGATACAGTAGGCTCTGGCCACCTACTCCCCTCTCCTGCCACCCCACCCACACCCACACCCGCCCGCATGCACACACAGACGCACACACACCACCACCACCACCACAGCCCACCTGAGATGGAGGCTGTGTCGTTGCCGAGGGCCGCCAGCACGCTCGCCTGCATCTGCCCCAGCAGCTCTGGCAGGACGCCTATCACCTGCGCCACATCCGCCTGTGCACAAGCAGAGAGGCCCGGCAACACGCGTGCCTGGCATGGGTGCGTGCTTGGCTGGCGGGTGGGCCGCAGGTGAGTGGGGCCGCGACTCTGCCTGCCAGCCAGCCAGCCAGCCACGACTCCCCGCGCCAACGACCTGCCCGCCCCCAGCTGTGCCAGGTGCGTCGCCCCACGCCCCAGCCCAGCTCACCAGCGCCGGCAGGTGCGCGTCTGGCAGGCCCGCCTGCTCTGCCGCCACCACCAGGCAGGCGGCCATGGTGACCCCCAGCAGGCCGTCTGCCACCTTGAGTGGGATGGACATGGCGCGGTCCAGCAGCAGTACTGCATCGTACACCGTCTCATCTGCGGTACAGCAGGGGTGGAGAGCAGGCAGGCGCGCGCACGTGTGAGAGGGTGTGGATGCCGGGAGCGTGGTGGGGCAGGGAGGGCATTTAAAGAATGCATTCTGATCACAAAAAAAGACATGGGGCAGGGGCGGCCGGCGGCGGCGACGCGCACCTGGCAGCGCCAGCTGCGCCCCCATGCTGCAGGCCACCGCGATCAGCTCCGCGCGCTTCTGCAGGTAGCTGAAGCTCATGACCTGGCGTGGAGGGGGCGGGGGTAGGGCGGGGATGGGGGGCGGGCAGGATGGCGGCATGATGAGGCACGGCGGACAAGGGATGCATGCATCGCCAGACAATCGCCGCACACACTCCCTCGTACAGCACCCTCACACACACCACCAAAGCACCACACCACACACACCACCAGGCCATGACACCCACACGCACAGCCCACCTGCAGGTTGAGGCAGTGCGTCTCCTCAAAGAACTTGACGGTCTGGAAGGCCTCCGCCACCCTGCGGTACGAGCGGTACCAGGCAGTACATCAGTGCATTGGACACACAGGTCCGGCGCCGCGCGCAGGCTGCCTCGTGCCACTCCACCGCAGCCAGGCAAATGCCTGCCCACGCAACACAACAACAATGCCAGGGGCGGCCGCGAGGCGTTTCCGGCTGGCTGCCTGAGTCTGATGCACGACGCCCAACTGCGGCGCCTGCTGACCTGGCCTCCGTGGCAAGCTCCGCCTCCAGCTCAGCGTCTGCCTCCCTGCTGCCGGCGGGCCGCGTGAGGCCCGCCACGGCCACCGCCGCCGCCGCGGCGGCCGCCGCGGCGGCGGACGGCGGGGGTGACGAGCCGGGTTCCGCAGGCGGCGAGCCGACGGGGCTGCCGCCGTCGTCGCTGCCGCAGGGCCGCGCTCCGGCCGCCTCGGCCGCCGCGCCTTGCGCCGCTGGCGCCGCCTGCGGGGCGGCCCCGAGCCCCGCGGCGGCCGCGGGGATGACGGCGGCGAGCACCGCGGCGCCGTCTGCCGCCAGCCACTCCGCCACCAGCTTCCCGGCAGCTTCCAGGCGGCCGACGTGGGGCGTGGAGTCCGGGGCCTCCTCAAAGGGCGACCGCAGGCTGCGCAGCAGGGCGCCCACGGTCTCCTTGATGATGCTGTGCGGCGCATCCTTGCTCTTGCCCTTGCCTGCAGCGGCGCGGCGGGGGAGAGCAAGGGCACAAGAGACGAGCGCGCGTGCCGTCGGCGTGTGCGTGGTTGGGAGATGGGAAGGGCCGCGGCAGAGGGTGCCATGCCAGCAGGTGCGTGCCGAAGGGCAGGAGGGGCACTCCGGGGCGGAAGCATGCGGCAGGCAAGGGAGGGCGGCGGCGCCGCGCACCTGCGATGATGCAGATCTTGTCGGGGAGCGCCTCCGGGCCCTCCGCCTGCAGCTTGGCGCTGCACGAAGAGGGGCAGGGGCGGGGGTGGGAGGCGGCGGCGCCGCGGGTGAGGATGTGCCTGATCATGCGTGCTGCAAGAGCATGGCACCCAGGCGGGGGCGGGGCAGGCTGGCGGATGGACCAGCAGCGTCGGCGTCGGCGTCGGCGGCGGCGGCGGCACTCACAGCAGGTCGTGCAGCCAGCAGTGCAGGCTGAGCAGGGCCACCCCCGGCGTGGTGGAGTGCAGGTTGAGCTCCAGGCTGCCGCCGGCGGCGTGGCTGTGGCAGCGGATGAGGCCCTCGGCCGAGGCCTGCCGGAAGAGGCTGGCCGCCTTGCGCTGCGCCCACCCCACCCCCGTCTCCCACAGAACGTCGATGATGGTGTTGTAAACGATAGAGTCGGGGGCGCAGGGCCGAGCGCGTATCATCTCCTCAAACGCCTGCGGGAGGCGGGAGTGTGTGTGTGGGTAGTGGGGTAGCGGGCAGGCGGCGGAAAGTGGGTGGGGACGGCGCCCGGCGGCAGGAGAGGCGCCGCGCCTGCCTGGCGGCGCGACGAGGCGCAGCAGCGGCGGCGGCGCGCCGGCGGCGCGGGCATGCTCACCGCCAGTGCACGCCGCCACTGCCCGCCGCGCTCGTAGGCCTGGATGAGGGCGGTATAGGAGACGACGTCTGGGCGGCAGCCCTGGCGCTGCATCTGCTCAAACACCTCAGCCGCCTTCTCCCACTGAGCGCCTGCACGCGCGCGGCGAGCACAACGGCAGCGGCGCAGGGAGGGCCATGAGCCACAGGTGGGGCGTGCCCACGGTCGGATAGCCCTCGCCTGGCCGCTTGGTCGACCCCAGAGGGCTGCTGCGCAGGCAGGCGGGCGCCCCGGCACTGCCAGGGCCCCCGGCGGCGCCGCCCTGCACCGCCGGCGGCGCCGCAGCAGCCAGCACGGCGGGCAGGCGGCCCGCGGCGGCGGCGGCGCCCACCCTGTGCGCAGGCTGTGATTAGAGAGTTGTAAGAAATGACGTTGGGCACGCATCCCTCGCCCCGCATCTCCTCAAACAGCTGCACAGAGGGGCAGAGGGGGGGAGAAGGCAGGGGTGGATGAGGCAGGGAAGGGGAGAGGAGAGAGGGAAGAGGTCGTACCAGCAGGGGACGGGAGAAAAACAGCACGAAGCGCAGTCCAGGCTGCGCCGCTGGCGTGCAAACACGGCACTCAAGCACCGTGCTGCGCACACAGCAGCGCCATACAGAACAGGCGGCGATGCAGCGGGGCGGTACAAGCGATACGAGCGGCACATATGCGCGGGCAGGCCTGCGGCACCTGCAGCGCCAGCTTCCACTCCCCCGCCTTCTCGCAGGCGGAGATGAGGGAGGAGTAGGTGATGACGCTGCGCTCGCAGCCCTGCAGGCAGGACCGCGCACACAAGGGTCAGCCGTGGGCACGGGCTGACAGCCACAGCCTTCAGCATGCCACGCGGACAGCCAGCCCGCCTGCCCTCGGCACAAACCTGCCTTGCCTTGCCTCCTGTCCCAGCCCCAGCTCTCTGGCAACTGCCGCACTCCCACCACACCACACGTCACACACCTTCCCAACCACACGCCACACACCACTCTCCCTCCCCCCCACATGCCACACCAAACCACACGCCCCATCGCTCCCGCCACCCCCTCCCCCACCTTCTGCACCATCTCCTTGAACACCGCCAGCACCTTGGGCAGGTCGCCGCCCTTGCTGTGCGCGGAGATGAGCGCCTGCAGGGGCGCGGGCAGGCAGGCAGGCAGGCAGGCACGTCAGGCAGGCGGGCAGGCAGGCACACGCGTCAGGCAGGCAGGCGGGCCGTCGGGGAGCCGCTGTCAGGCGAGAGGCAGGCAGGCAGGCAGGCAGGCAGGCCGTAGGGGAGCCGCTGTCAGCGAGAGGCTGGCAAGCAAGGCACCAGCCACTCCCCGCGCTGCCTCCACCCCCAAACACGCGCCGCCGCTCACGTTGTAGGTGGTGGTGTTGGGCGGGTGGGAGCTGGCGGCCATCTGCTCATACACCCGCAAGGCCTCCTGCGGGAAGGGCAGGTGTGGGGGGCAGGTGTGGTGCGGGTCAGGGGCCAAGCACGCCATCAGCATTGAGGCAAACAAAAAAATACCAACACAAAAAGAGGTAGGCATGTGTGTGTGGGGAGGAGGGGCGCTTGCTGCGAGGCAGGGAGGCGGGCGGGCACGCGTGCGCCCAGGTGGCGGCAGCTGATGCGTGCTTCGCGCGCTGGCGGCCCGGCTCGCCGCCGCGGCTCGCCTGCCACTGGTTGGATGTGTTGCAGGCGATCATGAGGGTGTTGAAGGTGCGGGTGACGGGCTGGATGCGCTCGCGCTTCATCTGCTCCAGAACTGCAGGCCGGGAGAGGGACGTTCTTAGCAAGCATGCGGCTCGCCGGGTGTTGTTGGTGGTGGTGCACGCTGTGGTGGTGCGTGTGGTGGTGGTGTGCGCAGTGTGTGTGTGTGTGTGTGTGGTCAGGGCGTGAAGAGGGCGCAGGGAGAGGAAGGCAGGCAGGACGTCCTGGCAACGGCACAGCGGAGGGGAGCAGGCGGCGCGATGCACCAGCTGGCCGCCTGCCCAGCCCGCCTCACCCGCCAGCGCCTCTTCCCACTGCCCGCTCTTGCCGTACACGTCGATGAGGGTGTTGTAAGTCACCACATTGGCGGGGCAGCCCTGCATGCGTGCAGGTGCACAGGCTGGGCAGCAGGTGGCAGCGGGGAGCCGCGGCTGTGCCGCCGCGAGGCGCGCTGCGCCGGCCGCTCCGGTCTGCTGCGCCTTCATGCCAACCACCCACCCTTATAACAAGCTCAAGCAACAAAAAGAAGTGCTGCCCTGCTGGCTGCTGCCCTGTCCCACAAGCCGCCGCGGGCGGCTCACCGCGGCCTGCATGTCGCGGTACACATCCAGGGCCAGCTTGTACTGCCCGCACTTGATGCACACATTCATGAGGGCGGAGAAGGTGTGCACGTTGCGCTCGATCCCTCGGTCACGCATCTCCTGTCGGGGGGCAGGTGGGCAGGCGCGCGCGTGTGTGTGTGTGTGTGTGTGGTGGGGCTCGGGGTGGGTGGGAGGGCGTGCGGGTGTAGGGTAGGGGAGGCAGGCAGGCATGCGTAGGCATGCGTGAATGCGTGAATGCGCTTGGCTGGCCGCTAGCATGGGCCAATGGGCAGGACCAGCATTGCGGGGAACCCCAAACTCGCATCAATCTCGCATCAGATTCAAGCGCACGCGGCTCCCCACCACGCCGCCACCTGCCCCACCACCCCTCCGCCCCGCGCTCCCGCTCTCTATAACCCCAGCCGGCCCCCCCCCAGCCCCGGCCGGCCCCCGCACCTCCGCCAGCGCCATGGCGCGCCCCAGGTCCTGCTGCGCCACGCAGTTGCTGATCATGGAGGTGAAGGTGAACTCATCCAGCAGCGGGGCCAGCGGGGAGCCGGGCCCCAGGCGGCGCAGCAGGTCGAAGAGCTGCGCGCCGCGGTGCGGCAGCCCGCCCTTGCCCAGGTCCTTGATGACCATGGCCAGCCCGCGGCTGTCCAGGCCGTGCAGCAGCTGCAGGGGGCGGCGGGGAGAGGAGGCGCGCGGCGGGCTGGAGGGTGGGGAGAGGCGGCGGGGAGAGGCGCGAGGCGGCGAGGCGGCCCCGCCGGGCAGGCTGTGCGCGGGGCGGAGCGGGGCAATCCAGGCTCCCGAGCTCAGCCGGGGGAGCCTACTGCAGGGCTGCCCTGCCAGGGGAGAACACCATGGCAGGCGGCACGCGCAGCAGCACCGCACCTGCAGCACCCCTTCATCCAGCGGCACCTCCGGCGGCAGGCGCTTGATGCGCAGCAGGAGGTCATGCGTGCCGGCCTCGCCGCCGCCCATGGCGTGGCCGCCGTGGGCGCCGCGGCCGCGCCTGCCGCGGCCGCCCCGCGCCTGCCCGCGCGCGCCGCCGCCGTCTCGGTACCCGCCGCCGCGGCCCTGGGCGCCGCCGCGGCCGCCCCTGCACCGCGCAGGCCGGCGCCAGTTGGGCAGGCTAACGCGTCAGGGGAAATGCAGAATGACGACACCTGCCATCATGCTGTGGGCTGTGGACACCTGCCGCACATGCCCCAGCGCGTTGCCAGCCTCGCGTGACCCGCCAACTGCCAGCCAAAATATGGCATCCACGCAGCGCCCGGCTCGCCCCACTCTCACCGTGCGGGCCCGCTGCCGCCGTAGGCCGGGTGCCGCCTGTCCAGCTGGTCTTGTATCTGCATGCCTCCCCAGCCGCGCGGCGGCGCCGCATCTGGCGGCAGCGCCATTAGCATGCGGTGCATTGCCAGAAAGGGCTGCCCCGGGTCGCCGCCGGCGCCGTGGCCTCCCAGCGGGCCCGCCATGCCTGCCGCCTGCATGGCCGGCGGCAGGGGGCCGTAGAAGGAGATGCCGCCGGCCGCAGGGTGCGGCGGCGGCGGCGGGTAGCCGGTGCTCAGCTGGAACTGCGCAAACTGGGCGGGCAGCCACTGCTGGTAGCCGGCGTGCTGCGCGTAGTAGCCGGCGTGCTGCTGCTGGTCAGGCTGCAGTCCGTTGTGGGGGTGGTGCGCTGCTGCAACAGCCCCTCCGCTTGCTCCGCCGCCGCCGCCGCCGCCCGGCTGTTGCTGGTGGTGGTGGTGAGGCTGTTGCTGGTGCCGGCTGTCTATGGAGGGGCCACCAATACCTCCTCCGCCAGCACCGAACATTGCGCCCAGCTAGCTAGCCGTTTGCGCACAGCATGCCAACCCTTGATTGTTGTCGGCACGATGAGGTGACTGCCGCCCACCCAGAGGCTTTGCACGGCCTGTCGGTGGGATTGGAGTGCCTGCGCTGCCTTGTTTGTGGGTTGATGACGAGTTCAAATCCCAACGCCACGGCGTGGAAGGGGCAGTTTTGCGGAAGGGGCACCCGCTACGAACTGCGCAAAAACTGTGCGCAAGCTGGCTCTGCGCCGCCACGGAACTTCTGTCCCAGGTAACCAAGGAAAGTGGGATTGGCTGGGTGTCGCTGGGCCCCAACCGATAGGTGCGAGGCCAGAGCGGGCACGTGCAAGGCTAGCTGACCGGCAACGTGATACGGCCGAACGCACATGTCATTATTTTAAGCTGCAGCTGCTTTTCCCGGGCAGATACTGCGCTTGACTGGTTGCCGCCAAGGAATGGGCGACACGTGTCACAGGACCGCTTGAATGTGCCACCTGTGGCCCCAGCAATGCTCCGGCATTGCTCAGAGGACTGCCAGGGTGTCTGGGTCCCCTGGGGTGAGAGAGCACTGTTGCTTCACCACCCACCCGCCCTTGATGGTGCAAAAACAGGCCGGAGTGTTGCTACTCATTGCTGTTCCCAGGTCCCATGCATTGGCAGGGCACTGGCTGCAGCATGGGGCACAGCAGCACTCAGTTTGACCTGCACCCTGTCAGCGAAGAGAAGAGAGGGGCAAAAGGTCAGCCCATGAGATGCCTGCTTTGCATTGTTGCCGGATAGGATGAAGCCGATTTCGCGCTGTGTGTTTCAGGACGCCACTGCAAATCAAGATGCAGAGCACCAGCTGCAGAACACCAGCAGCAGCATGCTGCATTGGCACGGGCGCCGGCCCAGCGGCAGCCCGCAGAACGCACATTGTAGCCCGCTGCCAAGCCCATGATAGCCAGCAGCAGTCTCAGCAGCAGCAGGCCAGCAGACGAGGCGTGCTGGCCCTTAGCGCCGCAATGCTCGCCGCTGCGGCGCAGCAGCAAGCGGCCCGGGCAGAGGATGCTGTGGATGTGGCCGATGTGGCGCCAGCAGCAGCGGAGGAGCCGCAGGTGCGCAGCAGCGCAAGCGGCGGCGGCACCGCCCGCCCGAAGCTATCGCACGCTGCCGTTGGCAGTCTTTGGTGCTTGCGCCATGTCCCAGGGAGCTAGCGGCGCTGTGTCATCGGAACCGCACCAGCATCGCCGCTGCCTGGCTCGCCTCCCGCCGCGCCACGCCGCCGCCCATCTCCTCACCCGTCCGCGCGCCCGCCGCCCACCTGCCGTGCAGCCGCCGGCGGCGCCGCCGGCGCCTGCGGTGCCCATGAAGGTGGTGGCCGACGGTACGCTGGCCTATGCCTTTGAGTACCCCGCCGCCACCGCGTCCGGCAGGCAGCTGCCGCTGGTGTTCAGCCGCCGGCCCGAGCGCTACTCGTCGGCGGCGCCGCTGACCGCCGACGCGCGGCAGCGCATCGTGTGCGAGCTCGCAGACCTGATTGACGCGGTGACGGTGTCGCTGACGGTGCGCTGACTGTGCGCTGACTCAGCGGCAGCAGAGTGTGCAGCAGCAGCGGCGGCGGCGGCATGGGGAGTGGTGGGTGGCTGGGTGGGGCCCCCGGGAGCGGCTGCCGCCGGAGGGCGGGACAGCGAGGCGCAGCGGTCGGGGCAGCAGCAGCCTCCACAGGTGGCAGCCCCGCGGCCGACGCGCGCCTGCCTGTTGCCTGCCGCCTCCCGCCCGCCCGCCCGCGCAGGTGGGCCCTCCCTCGGGCATCCTCAAGGCCAAGCCGCCCGGCGAGTGGCGGGCGGAGGAGGTGGCGCAGGCGGTGCTCATCGACCGCTCCACCGCCCGCATCACCACTGGCCAGCGCATCTCGCTCAACAGCGTGGAGACGGCGGCGGCCGAGCTGCGCGGAGACGACGGCACCCCCTACTTTGTGTTTGAGCACGTGTCGCAGGTGGGGCTGGGCTGGGCTGGGGTGAGGGCCCAGGGGTGGGACCGCAAGGTGGGGCGGGGTGGGCGCCAAGGCAGGGCCTGCGGGAGCGCATGCCTGGCAGGGCTGCAGAGGAGGGTCCCCCAGGCGGAAGGGAGGCTCCACCCGATGCGCGGCTGCCCAAACCTGCGCAGGGGTCGCCCACGCTGCGCGCGCTGTCCCGCGAGACGTACCGCCACGCGCTGGCGGTGACGGCGGTGCGCCCCGGCCTGGACGGCACCCCCTTCCTCTACACCCTCAACATGAGCTGTCCCCAGGACCTGTGGGAGGACGTGCAGCCTGGCTTCGTGCAGGGCGTGGCGTCCTTCAGGCAAGCGGGGCCTCCAGGGAGCAGCTGGCCGCATCGCCGCCAGCCCAGGCTGTGGGGTGTGGGGTGTTGTGTGCAAGCACGTGTGTGTGCATGCATGCCGCGGCTCACTGGCGCAGCCGCCTGCTCGCTTCGGCTGGCCGGCTGCAGGCTGCTGCCGCCGGGGCCCAGCTACGTGGCGCCTGACCAGGACCCGTGGCGCTTCTTCTGAGCGGCGCGGGCTCCCCTGCGTGCGGTGGCGGTATTGGCCTGGACGCGGCACGGCGCCGACGCTGCTGCTCCTGCTGGCGAGGCGGAGAAGCCGGCGCCAGCCGCGGCCCGCGTGCCAGCACATGTCCTTCTCCAATCAGTCGCATATTAATTCATGAATCTGTCAGAGCACTGTAATGAGTCCGCCAGCAGGGCTTCTTCCGCATGACGCGCGGCGGTGGACCTGCCGCACCGCTGGTGCTGACGGCGAGGGATGCAATCTTGATGTGCTCAACTGGGAGGGCAGTGTCGATGTATCACAGGCCTGTGAGTGCGGCAGGCCATCGTGTGATTGAACGGGGCTGAAATGCCGATGCCGGCGCTGGCGGCGCGCGGTCACCTCCAGCTGGCGGCGACAGGCCTGGCAGCGGCACGTGACTTGCGCAAACCCCAGAGGGGCTTTCAAGCCAACGTGACCTTTCAAATTTCGCACTGCTGGGGTGCGAGGAGGGCCAGGCCCACCCAACAGCCATGACTTGAACGGCAAGCTGGGGTGGCAATGAAGCTCGTTGAAATGAACCGACGCACTGTGGGTTTGTCTCTGGTCACGGCGACGGGAGTCGGCCTCGTGCTCAGCCGCCGCTGGTCTCGGTCCGAGGGCGCTCACCACCCCGGCCTGCCGGGCGGTGCTGACGGCGATCACGAGGACTGGCACTTGGCGGTGAGGGCCGCAGCGCCGCTCCAGCGCAGCTGCCGGGCGCCAGCCGCCGCTCGCGCCGCACCCGCCACCCGCTCTACTTCCAGCACCCGCTGTGCTTGCACTGCTGCCCGGTGCAGGACTACCTGCATGCTGCCTCTGAGCACACCGCGGATGCCACCCAGAGCCTGGCGCACGTCGTGCGGTCCGCCCAGCATGCCTGGCAGCGGCGGCAGGCAGCCGGCGCAGGTGCTGCCAGCCCTGGCAGCGCCGCCGAGGCTGCGTCGCGCCCCTCGTCAGCTGTCCTGCTTGCCGACTTCCTGACCGCCCTAAACGAGGGGCCTGCGGGGAAGCCGCCCAGGCGGGGAATCCAGCTGGTCAACAGCCAGCTTGCAGACTGGCTGCTGGAGCGGGCGGCGGCGGCTGGGGCCGACCCACAAGAGCGGCGAGCCATCCTGCGCTACCTGTCCGCGATACTGCGGAACGAGGAGGCAGCCGAGGCGCTGCTGCAGCAGCCAGGCGCGGCGCCGCGGCTGCTGGCCCTCGCCACACAGTCGTTCTCACTGCAGCAGCTGCTGGCGACGGCTGTGGCCCATGCGTCGGCACCACGCATGGTGCCCCCGGCCGACGTCGCCGCAGTGCTGGCCCTGCTAGCGGCGGAGCAACAGCAGCGCCGTGCGCGGCAACACGCCGGCACAGCGCACCAGCAGCAGCAGCTGCAGCTGGGCCTGCAGCTGCTGCTGGCGTGGGGCCGAGCCTCGGCGCTTAACGCCCACCGGCTGGCAAAGGCGGGGGCGGGCCCAATGCTGGCAAAGCTTGCCCCCCCCAGCGCCACGGGCGGCGGCATGGGCCGCCTGCAAAACGTGGTTGCCAAAGTGGGTGCTGCGTTGGGCTGGTTTTGGTACCCACCCCGTGCAGCCGGTTAGCCACCCCCCCTGGCTGGGCCAACCCTAACCGCGCTTGGTTCCCCACGGCCAGCCTTCAACCGTAGGTGTTTGCCTTGGCCGTTTGCCCCACACTCCTTGCCCCCCAGCCCCTCCTCCCGGCAACGCTGCACTTGCGGGGGTGCAGTTAATGGGCACCCTGGCCCAGGAGGCCGGCAAGCCGCAGCTGCTGCCAATGCAGGGTTGGCTGTACCACCTGTTCTGCTTTGCCGCCGACGCAGCAGCCAACAGCCAGTGGCAGCTGGCAGACACCTCGCTCACCAGCTTTGCCACCTGCCTGCTGCGCGGCTGTGAGCTTCCGGTGAGGCGGGGCCGACGCTGCCGCCGCCGGTTGCGCCTGCTGGAGGGCTGTCCTGTGCTGTGGGGCTAGCAGTCTCGCGCTTGGTTGCACGCCCCAAGGGCTGCCTGCCTGCCTGCAGGCAGCCTGTCACTCTTTTCCTGACAATCATGCATGCCTGCCTTCCTGCCTGCCTGCAGTCGCAGCTGATGCAGCGCAGCACGCTGCCGCTGCTTCACAAGCTGGCAGGGCAGCCCGACTCGCCTGCACGCCCTGCGATCGCGCGGGTGGTCCAAGCGCTGGCTGAAGGGCCCGGGGTGCAGCTGCCTCTTGAGGAGCGGGAGGTGTGGACAGAGACGCTGCTGCAGTGGCTGGTGCAGCTGCCTGGATCGGCAGCAGCGGCCGCGGCAGCGAAGCAGGACGGCGGCAGCAGCGGCGGCGGCGCCGGCAGTGGCAGCGGTGGCGGCTCGAGGCTGCGGCTCGAGACTGCGGGGGCTGGGGACGCGGGTCGGCTGCAGGGCCGGGTGACTCGGGCGCTGCAGGCGCTGTCTGCTCCTGCTGGCTCTGAGGGCCTGCATGTGGCGCATGCCTGGCTGGCAGAGCTGATAGTACGCCTCTCTGATGAGGTGCGGCCCTTGCCTCTGGAGCCAGACGCGGCGGCGGCAGCAGCAGCCCAGCAGCCCAGCAGCGGCGGCAGGTGGTGGTGGCCGTGGTGGGGCGCCGCCGCCGGCAGCGCTGGCAGCACCGAGGTCGCGGCCGACGGCGCCGTCGCCGCGCCCATGCCCGCGGCCGACGGCGGCGAGGCTGCGGCAGCGGTGGCGGCCGCAGCGGCAGAGGGCCCTTACCTCCCGCTCGCCGCCCCTGCCGCTGTCGGCAGCGCTGGCGACGCCCAGGCCGCCGGCGGCAGCGGCGGCAGCTGGTGGCAGGGCAGGTGGTGGCCCTGGGGCGGCGGCGGCGGTACCGCCTCCGAGCAGAGCGACCCGCAGCAGGCGGTCAAGGCAGCCGGCAAGCCCTCCGACTCAGAGCTGGCGCTCTACATTAATGCGGCGCCGGTGGGCCCTGTGTATGCGCGCTCCGTGGCGGCGGCCCTGCTGGAAGCCTCGGGGCGAGTCGGTGAGCGCGCCTCCTGGCCGGGCCGCGGTGCCGGACCGCCCCCGCCTGCAGCCCCTGCTGCGCCTGCCGCGCCTGCTGCGCCCCTCGCCACGGCGCTCGCTCTTCGTTGCGTGCTGGCGCTGGCCTGGCGCTGGCCTGGCCGCTGCGCTGCTGCTATCACTCCCCGTGCCCGCCCCACCAGCGCACTTGTCTCCCTGCTCCGCCTCCCCGCGCCGCCTGCCCGAAACCTGCAGGCTCCTTCCAAGAGCCTCCGGCCAGTACTGAGGAGCTGATGAGCCCTGCTGAGGTGGCAGTCTACCCTCAGGTGGCTGCCGCCATTGACTGGGACAGGGCAGACTCGGCTGTGTGCCAGGCGCTCAAGGTGCGGCGACAGGGCCAGTGCGGCGCCTTGTGCGGGGGCTGCGCCCTTCCACCCCCCCTCCGCTTGTCTACCCGCCCGTGTTTGTCCCGCAAAAGCACCGAATGCGGCCCTGCCGACGCTGCCGCCGCCGGCGGTGCCGGCTGGCCACCCTGCCGCCGACAGTGCCTGCTGCTGCCGCTGCCGCCGCGGCGCCGCCGCAGGTGCTGTGCGCGCTGGCCTCTGGCGGCGGCCGCCGCCGCGCCTGGCTGCTCGACTCCGGCATCCTGCCGCTGCTGCACCGCCTGACGCTGGAGCGGCCGCGTGACGTGGCAGGTGCGGTACGGAAGGGCAGTACCGGCGGCAGGGCTGCAGCACTTCACTGGGCTGGTTGCGGCCGGCTCTGAAGCCTGGACGCGTGTAGTCTCCCTGCCTTGCGTTTACTGCCTCAGTCGTGCCCGCACTGCCATGGCTGCCCAGCCATGCCGTCCCGTGGCACCCAGCCCTGCCCCACCCTCACACCTCACACCTCCCCCTCCCCTCCCGGCCTGCTGCGCCTTGCGCCGTGCAGAGCTGGCGTCTGGGGCGGGAGAGTATGTTGAGGCCGGCACGCCGCTGTGCATACAGCGGCAGGCGGTGCGGCTGCTGGCTATGCTGGCGTCTGAGGTGGCGGGGGCGGGGGAGGTGCAGGAGGCCGGGTGGATTCCCTGGCTGCAGGTGGGCAGGCAGCAGGTTGCGGCGTCCCCACCGGGGATACCTTATTGCCTGTATATAATACAACTAGGAGGAAAGCAAACAAGCTTGCCTCCAGCACGTCGTCTCCTCCGCTGAGCTGGTGTGCGGCTGAAATGGGGATGGGATGGTGGTGACACGTGGCGATGGCGGCTGCCGCAGGATCTGGCGGTATCTACGGATCTCAAGCTCAGCAGCTGCGCCTCCCGAGCGCTGCTCCACATCGAGTCGGCGGCCGCCACGCAGCGCCCCGGGCTGGACCTGGCGCAGCTGGCGGCGCGCGGGCGGCTGCCGCACCTGCACGCCGCGCCCGCGCCGCTGCTGCCCACGGAGCACCAGGGGGCGGCGGCGGCGGCGGCGGCCGCGGCTGCAGACGCGGCGGACATGGGTGTGGCTGCTGACGGTGCTGACGGTCCCGGCGGGGTCGGTAGGGAGGAGGAGGCGCGGGGGGTGGGCACCGAGGCGGCGGAGGCGGCAGCGGAGATGCTGGGGGAGGCGCGGCTGGCGCTGGCGCAGGCGCGGCGGCGGCTGGACCGGCAGCTGGATGTGGTGCGGGCCGCGGTACCGGACAAGGAGCGCCTGGTACTGCAGGTGTGCGCCATCTCAGGGGGTATCGTCGCTGTGGCGCTCCCGCCTGGCTGGCCTTCCCATTCACCAGGCCGCCGCCCTCCCGAGCATCAGCCCGCTCCCCTGCGCTGGCATAGCTGCCAGCCTTGGCTTCCCGCCTGGCTGCCTGCACATCACCCTGCTGCTGCTGCTGCGCCCTCGTCCCGCCGCAGGACGGAGTGCACCTGTTTGATCCGCTGGCGCCGCACCACGAGGTTCTGGCGCGGGAGGGCATCGGCGCAGACACCTCGGGTGCGGCCCGGGCTGCCCCAGCCGCTGCGCGCTCTGCGCTGCCGTCTGCTGTGCCGCTCTGCCGTGCCCCATGCTGCGCTGTTGGCCCATGCTGCGCTCCTGCCACCAAATGCGACACACACTTTCCCCCCGCTGCCACACACACACACACACTCTCAATCGCGGGCCTGCCTTTCCCTCTGCCGCAGACGCCCCGCTGCTCGACATTGTGTTTGTGCACGGCATCCGCGGCGGCGCCTTTGCCACGTGGCGGCGGGAGGGCGTGCTGGAGCACGGCCAGGTGCGTGCCGCAGCAGCGCCGCCGTGCTCGCCTCTTGCCGCACAGGCATGCAGGGAGTGCCGTGCTCTGCGCACAGCCAACGAGAAGGAATTGCTGGAAATTGCGAAGCAGGCAGCTGCCCACAAGGCGCCGCATATCCTGCTGGTGCCTGGGCTACTGCCAGCCCCGGCTCGCGGCCCTGGCATGCCCTCCCCCTCTCGCTCCACAGCCTCGTCCCCACCTGGCCCGCCCTTCTCCTTGCCGCCGCCTCCCTCTCATGCCCACGGCAGGCCCGGGAGTCGCTTGACCGCCCCGCGTGCTGGCCCGCCTCCTGGGTGGCCAAGGAGCTCCCAGAGGCGCGCCTGCTGTCGCTGGAATATGCGGCGCCCGCCAGCGGCTGGGAGGTGCGCCGGCGCCGCCGCCTGCTGTCGCGGCCCCTGCTGTCGCCGCCGCCTGCCCGCCCGCTCGTGGATGCCTGGTCAGCTGCTCGCCGGCCGCACCCGTGCCACCCTGGCACGCACGCTGCGACGCATGCGATGCACCGCCGCTGCCGCCGCTGCCGCTGCCGCTGCCGGGCTCTTGCCTGCAGGGCGAGTCGCTTCCCTTCCGCCACATCGTAGCGCAGCTCATGGACAAGCTGGCGGCGGCGGGGGTGGGACGCCGCCCTGTCATCTTCGTCTGCCACAGGCATGCCTTCCATGCACGCCTTCCATGCTTGCCCATCGCAACCGACTGTTCAGCTTCTCCTCGCACCATGGAGCCTCCCCCTGGCCTGTGGGCCCTCTGCCGTCTTGCCCAGATGACGGGTGGCCTGTGTTTAGATGTGCGTATGCGCACCTGGCCTCAACGCTGCCTGGCTGCCCTTTCTTTCCACCCTGGCTTGCAGCATGGGCGGCCTCATCGTCAAGGACCTCCTGGTCACCGCCAAGCAGCAGCAGGATGAGCGGCTGCGCAGGTGGGCAGGCAGGCAGCTGGCTCCGCGGCCCCTGGCTGCGCGCCAGCTGTGTGTCAGTGCCTGCCGCGTGGGCTGCCTTCAGGAGCAGCAAGGGGCTGGCGCCGGAGGCCCGTCCAGTGCTTCATTGTTGCTGGTTGCCATTGCCAGGGCGCCCTGTGCTGGCCTGCCGGACCTGATGCCCCCCTGCCTTCTATGCATGCCCGTCGCCCGCAGCCTCAACACCAGCGCCGTCGGCGCCGTCTTCTACTCTGTGCCGCACGCCGGCTCCAGGCTGGCCGACTGGGGCTGGTCCCTGCGCTACATCGGCGGCTCACCAGCCAAGCACGTGCAGCACCTGAAGACGGGGCACCACCAGGAGGTCAGCGCAGGGCAGCTACGGTCGGGCTGGCCGGGCTGGGGGCGGCTCGATGCGTGGGGCGACTGGCTGACTGGGGCAACTGGATCATAGATGGGGTGACTGGATAAGGCAGCTGGCCGACCGGGGGCAGCTGGCCTGGCGACTGGATAAATGGCGGGCAGCGGCCGCAGCAGGGCTGGCGAGGGCCGCCGCCGCCGGCTGCTGTCGCCGACCCCCTCCCCCTCCTCCGTCTTCCCGCCCGCCCGCGCCCCTGCAGGAGCTCAACGCCGCGGTGCGCGCGATGTGCAAGTCGGGGCGGCTGCCGGTGCTGAGCTTCAGCGAGGGGCTGCCCACCAAGCTGGGCCTGTTCCCGACCCAGGTGGTACCGCACGAATCTGCCTACCCAGGGTGAGCCCTGCCCCTTGCTGTGTGCTGTTGTTGCATTATGTGTAATGCAATATATGTGGATTGGTGTATGTGTATTGGTTTCGCGGGGGGCCCAGCTGCAGCGTGTGCCAGTTTCCTGTTGTGGAGTTTGGTCGCAGCGCCCGCCCTCCCGCCCACGTGCCGGCCAGCCCACCAACAGACACCCTCCCCCTGCCCTCCCGGCTCCCCTGCAGGTACGGCGACTTTGTGGTGCTGGCCCAGCACGACCACATCAGCGTGTGCAAGCCCTGGGACACCTCAGACCCGGCCTACGCGCGCCTCCTTGCCTTCCTGCACGCCCGGGTGCGCGCGCTGCGCCTGGCGCGGGCCGACGCCGCGGGCAGGCTCGACCACATGGAGGCGAGCGTGTTGTGAGGCCTGGGCCGCCGCGCCTCGCAGCCACGGCGCCTCACAGCGCTGCCTCGGAGCGCTGCCTGGATGCGCTACGAGCGCTCGCGCTCTTGCTTCCCGACGAGCCGTGCTCTCTGACTGACGCCCCCAACCCCACCCACCACCCGCACCGCACCCCGCCACGCTGCCATGACGCACCACACACACCTGCCACGTGCTGCATTCTTTATGCCATCCATGCATACGCATACGCGCCCAACCGGCACAGCACACATGTGTGCTGTGCTGCGGCTCCATGTATCCTCACTCCCCGACCGTACTGTTGTGATTCATCGCACCATACATGACACTGTATCTCTGCATGCTGGGACCCCCCTCATACTGGCCCCCCTGCCTCTGTGTGCATCCTCCATCTGGGGATTTTGATCACTGGCAGCAGCGCAGGCACACACCCCGGCCCGGCCATCTGCCATCAGTGGCAGGCGGCCATGCCGGGTGCCCGCGCTGCTGCCTGAGCCCCATTTTGCCTGTGATGCCCGCCTTCTGCCTGGCAACAGCATGCCCCCACCCCCCCTCCCTTCTTCCATTTTGTTCTGCCTGCCCAATTGCACCCTTCCATTGCCGCCAACTGCTGATAGTCAGCGTTGATTGCTTACAGCAGGGGTGTAAGCCATGCATTCGTTGGATACGATGCGCGCTGCCGCCGCGGCCATCACGGCTCGGCTGCTGGTGCCAGCCGGGCTGCCTGTGCGCCTGGGGTGGCCGCCTGCTGCTGGAGGCGGAGGTACCAGGTCACCGAGGCCAGCAGCAGGAAGGCGCCGGCCAGCTCCGCGGCGCTGCTGATGCCCTCTGCAGGCATTCACAGGAGAGGGCAGGTGCGCGAGTGAGGCCCCCTGTCCAGGCTGGCAGGCGGCAGTCGGAAGGCAGGCAACGCGGCAGGAGGAGTTGCCCGGCGTTGGCAGGGGCGCGGAAAGCAGGGCCTTGGCCAGGGAGGCTGGTTGCTGCGGGGCGCACCTGACAGCAGCGGGTAGGAGGCCAGTAGGGAGCCCAGCAGGCGCGCTGCACGGTGTGGGTGGGGAGGAGGGTGGGACCCCTGATTGGAGCGAGCGACAGAGCGCAGGGTGCGCCTGCCCGGGCCAGGCGGATGTGTAGCCCATGCCTGTCAGTAGCGGGCGCAGCACGAGCAGGCAGGCGGGCGGGCAGGCCAGGCAGGCCAGGCAGCGATCCCAGGCAGGCAGGCAGGCAGGCGGGCACCTGGGAGGAAGGCTGCGGCCTGCGGCGCGCCCAGCTTCCGAATCACAGTCTGCTGGCCCAGGTTGGCGGCCCAGGTGAACGCGACCGCCACAGCCGCCACCAGGCCCCACTCGTGCCAGGTGAGGTGCTGCACCACGTGCCACCGGTCCCGCTCCAGCCACAAGGTGAGCGTACCGCACAGTATCGCCTGCACGCAGGAATGCCGCAAGGTGCTTGGCACAGGGTGCAATGCCGCGAGGGTGGGACAAGCAACAGTGCGCAGCGGGCAGGCCAGCCAAGTGCGGCGAAAGGCAACAGGCGCAGGGGCAAGCAAACAAGAAGGGTGCTTGCAGCGTTATAGCACTCCCGCTGCGCGGCAGCGGCCCACCTGCGTGAGGAAGCTGCACCAGAGGATGGCTTGGTCGCTGAGGCAGCGCGACGTTTGCACCAGCAGCATGAAGAAGGCCAGGGCCAGGGTGCCCACAAAAGCCAGGGACAGGCCCACGCCGTCCCTCCACGTCAGCTCGCCACCCAAGCCGGGGAACCCCGCAGGGCCCACCGACTGGCCCAGCGGCGCCCAGGCGAGCAGCCAGCCGGCGCCATGGCCCGGCGACTGCCCGCCGCCGCCTCCCCCGCCTATTGCCTTGCTCACAATCACCATGCCCGCCCCAAGCAGCATGAACAGGAGCGCCGGGAACAGGCCCGGGGGCAAGGGCGAGCTGCACACAAGCAGGCGGGAGGGACGCCGCATGGCTCATGGACCCTTGACGCATGCGCCCAGCCTTGCAGCACGGCGACACACCACTCCAGCAGCCTCACCTCAGCAGGGCCCGGGCCATGAGGGCCACCAGGAGTGGCGCCAGCAGGAACACCATCTGGCTCAGGTATGCCTGCGGCAAGTGTCGGCGGCAGCCAGCACGTGTGACGCCATGGCTAGCCATGGCCGCGGCTGGGCTATGCTTGGGAGGAAGTGCAGCACCAGTAGGCCTCGCCTGTACAGATGCTCCAGTGCCTCACCTGAGTGAAGAGCAGGCTATACACCTGAGCGAGCATGACTGAGGTCAGCGCGGCGGTGGTGCCCAGCAGCAGCAGCACCGCCCGCCGCGACAAGCGGAAGCGCCTCCCGTCGATCTCGCGGCGCAGGGCGCGGTGGTGCGCTGCCGCGCCCGCCGGGGCCGCGGGCTCATCCCTCTGCCACTGCCCCAGCAGCTTCAGGTTGTCGCCGGTGCTGCCGATGCTGCCATGACTCTCTGCCTGCCCAACCAGCGGCTGCGTCAGGCTGCCAGCCGTGCCTCCCGCAGCCTCCCAGCCTAGATCCTCCGCCATCTCCTCAGCGCCATCGCGGCGGCCACGCAGCCAGCGCCGCACCAGCACCGGCAGGGTGGTGCACAGCAGCAGCGCGAGGCACGCGACGGCGTTGATGGCAAACGTCAGCTGCAGGCTGCTCAACGGGTGAGCGATGCGCGTCTGCAGGTAGCGAACCGCCACCGGATAGCAACCGTTGTAGATCTGCGGCGAAATGGGAGACAGCAACGTGTGTCGGCTCTTGTCCAAGTGGGCTGGCAGCGGCCACCCGCGCGGCGTGGCGGCGGCAGGCATCGACCGCCGCCGTGGCCCACCAGCGGGCCACCAAACTACGCATCCCCCCGTGCAAAGCATTTGCGCCATCTGGTGGTCGCTTTTGGGGGCGGCGGCAAAGTCGGTCGGCACAGAGCGTCGACCACGTGCACCGTATGCGCCTTCCACCCCTGTAGTAATGCCCACCTGCACTAGGAGGGCCGCCAGCAGCCAGACTGTGCGGCCCGCGCCCTCCATCGATGCAGGCGATCGAGTGGTGCAGCAGCAAATTGAGCGGTCTGCCTGCTGTTGTGATCAGGGACAGCGTCTCAATTTAAGAGAGGCGCTGCACATGTCAAACGTGATCTCAAACGCCCGCAGGTACTGCGGCGGCGACAGGCTTGTGCGTGCCTGCCAGGCAGCGCCGCCGCCCTCGCTTGATGAGGCCAGTCAACTGTGGCTGGTGAATTGCTTCAAATCGACAGTGGAGTCCCGGCCAGCTTGCAGTGCAGCAATGCGACGACGTAATTCATAACGCGCGATGCCGCTGTTGGGAAATCGCCTGCCAAGACGCGACGTGGGTTGCGCTGCCACTTATGAGGCCAAGCCGATCAGGTGCTGGACCAGATCCGAGCATAAATTGCGTCACTAGCAGAACATCATGAGTTGCCGCTGCCGCTGGAGGGGAGATCCGGCCGGCTTGGCGCCAGGCACAGCCGCGCGGCGCCAACGTGACGGCGGCGGCGGCTTACATGTGCTGCCTGGGAGGATGATTGACGCCACTCGTCCCCCTGGGAGTTGCCCAGCCCGCAACTACTTGCATCTGTGTGTTTTTGCTGCTCCAACTGCTCCAGGGATACTGTGGAGTGTACTAGAAACAACAGCGGGCAGGCCTCTCCGCCCTGCGCAGCCCCCTGCTAGACCAGGAGAGAGGCCATAGGAGCGAAACAGGGGGGATAGAGGGATGCAACTCGCCTGCATGCAATCCCGCTGGCTAGTACTTAGTACTGAACTGCATGCAGCTCACCACTCCCAGTTGTTTTGTGGTTGTTTTCATCCCTCTGACCGAGGCATACTGCTCCCTGCATTGCCATGAACAGCTGGTGCCTTTCGGGCCCCGGCACGATCAGGCCAGCACTAGCCCTGCAAAACAGCGACATGTGAGCGTGACATGGGGTCTGTAGGCCTCAATTCTGCAGCGTTCTCGCTCAAACAAGTCCCCACCCCTTCGTTATGATGTCTGGCACCCCAGCGGCGGCCAGGGCATTCATACGCTTTGAGTGAACATCCCTGGGCTGGTAGCCACGGGCCTGGGGTGTCACGGTGTCACGCTGGGTGACAGGAGCCCTCCCGCGCCCTGCCTGGCTCGCGTGCTGCGCCCAAGTCACCTCCTGGCTTGCAATTGGACCTGTTTATCCACTGCCAGGCCTCCACACGGTCCATGTGGTGGCGTGGTGGGGGCCGTGGTGGCCATTTCTGGCCATGCTGGCAAGTTGCTGTGCAAGTGCTGCCACAGGCCTGGTGCTTCCTCATACGGACCCAGGGAACATCAGTGATGCCGTCTGAGGCGGCAGGAGGGGCGCAGGCGGTAGCAGGATGCTTGGCTGGGGGGCCGCTGTCAACGGCCAGCCGGCGCCGCCGCCCTCGTGCCGCCCCACCCTTGCCTTCACCCAGCTGCACCCCCACAATCCCCTTTTTGTTGGCCCAAGTGTTCCATTGGTGCTGACAGGATGTCAGGGAAGCAGTGGGGTGGTTGATGGCTGTCAAATGTTGCGTCTTGGGGTGCTCATTGCCGCCCACGGGCGGGGAGGCGTGTGTGGGCACTCGCGGCGCATGCCATGGAGTGTGTCATTGGTTTCCCTGGGGATTACCTCCCCACAGACCCCTCACTGCCATTATTAGTAACTTTGGTACCTCCTGGAAGCAAGAGAGGGTGCTCAACCTGCCCTGGTAGAGGCTGCCTGCCATGAGCGCCGCTGCGCCGTCGCCCCCCAAAGTGCCGCGTCATTCCACACACATTTCCCCGAATGGAATGCACACTGGGCCTCCTCTTGCCTTCTATTACGCTTCATAAACACATTGAAGCGCTGCTGATGCCCTTCCACAAGTCTCCGTGCCACCCACCCATAGCCATTGCACCGCTGCCATGTGTGACGCCCCGCCCCTGCAGCGGCACATGGCAGGCTGCTGACCTGTGCCAGCAGTCGTTGCAGCGCGGCGCCGCCCTGCCAGAGTCGTCTACACTGCTAATGAACATGTGGGCACGCTTGCATTGCCAAAAGGCCGCGGCTGCCGCCATGCCGCGAAAGAGATGGCGCGAGCCGGCCGGCGCAGGGCCTGCTGTTGCTCTCAAACAACTCTCCGTATGCTATAAGGTGGGAGAGGAAGCTAAAAACGCGAAAAACGATGCAGACATGGCTGAGATCAGGCCACATGTCGTTTCCCTGCTGGCCTGCCAGGCCACGATCAGTGATCGTGCCGGGGCCCTTTCCTGCTCCTGGCGCTGCTGGGTGAGACGCCCCGCGCTGCCATCTCCCTGCCTGCCGGCCCAGCTGTCTTGACCCAGCAGGGCGGGATTGGTCATCGAGGGGGGTGCAGGATGCCTGCGGCGCAGGCGAACTGAGCTGCACTGTCATGGTGTCCGGTGTGATGGCAGCCATCATGGTAGAAGCCACACCAGAAGCTGAACCCTGGGGCTGCTTCCTGGGCCTCACGCTCCGCTCAACCGCGCCTCCTGGATGTCTAAGCAACCAATGGCTCCACGTGCGCTGCAGGCTCCGCCCAGCTGGCGTCCGCCCGCCCGCTGGCCGGCCGCAGGGCGCTGCTGAACAACGGCATCCCCACCCAGCTGGCTGCCCTGAAGCAGCAGGTGGAGACGCTGGCTGCCCAGGTCTCCGCCCTTGCCGCCCAGGTCGCCGGCCTCTCCACAAGGGTCATTACAGTTGAGCGCGATCGGGCGGTCATCATCAGGGATCCCATTAATGTCAAGGAGCTGGACCTCGAGCACGGGGTTATTGAGGTGTCTAATGCCTCGGCGCCTTGAACACCCCAGACCTGTGCATCCCTCACCTCATGCCCACCCACTCACTCTTCCGATGGGCAGCTGCCCACCATCTTCCCATCCTCACCGCACCCCACGCATCTCCGTGCCCGCTCTCACCCCAGTCTCACTGCGACTCGCAGGGGGTGGGTCGGACCCACCCCCTCCATGCATGCATCCCCTGCATCCTTCCCACGCACCCGATCCCGCCTCACCCTGTCCCACCTAGCACGCTGCACCCCCCACCCGCTCCAGCTTTTCATCGTTTTCTACTGAGTACCTAGCCGATTTGCCTGTCCTTCGTTGATGTGATACTAATAATAATCACGAGCGCAGCAGTAGCTACTGGAACCTGCCCATCGGGCCTCCGCCGGCTCTGCCTTGCTGTGCGGGTCTTGATTGTCGCATCAACGGGTGTAGGCTTGTGGCGTGTGGGGGGGCAGGCGGTGCTCAGCGCTCTGCACAGCCCAGCTGCCTGCCAGTTGCCGCCGCCACCGCTGCGTCGAGCAGGCCCTTCAGGCCCCCCTGCTGGCATACGCTGGGGCTCCTGGGTGGCATCCTCGTGCCTCCTACCACAATCATGATAGGCAAGGGTGCCAGCGAGGGTGGCCGCTGTGAGCTGCTCTCCCTCTTCTGTTAACAGACATCGCCATGCCGCAGTGCAGCCACATCCCATGCTGCCTGCCGCCGCTGCCTGTGCCCGCACGACTTCCTGCTGATGGTTCCCAACGCCACACGAGCCGGCTGGCGCCATCCTGGGCTGGGGACGGGAGATGGAGGAGGCGCTCCGGCCAGTCTTCAATGCTCGCTGCAGAGACAAGCTCGAGGGCGGCACGGGGAGGGGGCGACAGGCGAGATGGTGCGGTTCACAGATGGCAGGGTGGCGGGCGCAGGGGACTTGGTGGATGAGCATGCTGCCCAGCAGACGGCGGCGGCACTGTCCCTGGGCATGATTGCCGTGCCCAGCGAGGAGCAGCTGCTGGGCATGCAAGCCAAATACCCGTTCCACAGGAGCGGCGCTGCGAGGCTGGCGCTCGCACCTCCCCTGCTCCTACCTGCTGCATGACCCAGGCTGCCTCTCCTGCTCTGGTCTCATGCAAGCGGCTGCGACACTCTCTTGCATTTCGTTCTTTCTTTGTGACCAGCTGTGCAGCAGTTTGCGCGGCAGTTATTACAGCTAGTGCCATGTGTTGGAGCCAGCATGGCAGGCCGCGTTGGCGCTGGCAGGAAGCAATGCCCTGATGATGATGACGAGCAATTGCAGGAAAATGGTCACATGGGTCAGCCATGCACCGAGCAAAGAGAAACAGCGAAGCAGGGAGACGGAGTCCCACCGCAGCCGAGACAAGAGGCTGGGTGGCCGCGCGGCGGCTGAGGCCAGGCGTCGGCATGGCGCCGCTGCATCGCCTGGCCAGGCTCGCTCGGCCCGCTTCTCAAACGGTGAGGCGGAGCGTGCCGTTGGCCAGGCTGACGCTGCCAAACACATTGAGCTGGAAGTCTGTGTAAGACTGGGCTGCCCGCTTGCCGATCGACGCCTCCTCCGTGCCCGCGGTGCTGTCGCGCTTGGGCCAGCTGGTTGTGATCTTGCCTGGGCGCACGCGCGTGAGGTGCACCAAACTGCCGGTGGTGCTCTGGCCAACCCACACATCGCCGTGGACGTGCACCACCTTGCCCACTGTGTCGGCAGTGCCTGCAGGCATCCGGTGGGGCGTTTTGAGGCGGCAGGCACGCAGGCTGAGGGTGCCCAGCTGTGCAGCTGGCCACCGAGCTCAAATGTTGGCCAAGGCTGTTGAGAGGTGGTGGGCAGCAGCGGCACCCGGAGCAGCAGTCGCGGCGGCGGGATGGGCCAGGCGCCACGCCACTAGACGGCTTGGCTGGCCGGAGGGCGCGGCGGGGCACTCACTGGCAGACTTGTAGCCCAGCTCTGAGTTGCCAAACACCTTGAGCTGCGGGTCGGTGGCGGGGTCCCCAGTCTTCCGCCCCAGGCTGCTCTCTGCGCGCACCTCACCCCCTGCGCCGTCCTTGTCTGGCCACGACATGACGGCTTTGCCGGGGCGCACCTGCGTCAAGCAGGCGGCCGCGCAGGTGGCATGTGAGCAGGGATGCCAGGGGGGCGTGGCGGCGGGGGGGCGAGCTCAATAAGGGGGCAGGATGAGAAGGGAGGCGCCCAGCAGTGCGCCGGGCGGCGGGCACCAAGGCATGCAGGGGAGGCAGTGGC